CCCTCATAAGAGAAATGAGGGGCTATTTATAGTTTTCTTAGAGTGGCATGGCCAATAAATAGGAGGAAGATCAAGGGCGAAGGTGGAGTGGTTCGGATGGACGGTCGATATTGAATCCCTTGATCGTGTACCATTCATTAGACATTTGAAGGTCTTAATGATGTCGGAATTCAACGATCTTGGGCTCTTTGGATTCGTCTCGTCGAGCCGCTCAATTCGACTATAAGCATGTAATGTTTAGAAACTGTTTGGTAATCCAAATTGTGGTTTGAACCCTCTAACAACACTTCGGATCCTTGATTTAGACCCATTTGAGCTCGGATTGAGTCGAATTTGGGGTTCGTATTTCCGAGACGATCAGTTCGACTGTAAGTTTGCTAAAATCGGAGTTTAGATGATCCCGGATATAATTTTTGGAGTTTTCAGATTGATTTTGCCTCGAGATTCATGCCCGATCAAGATAATTTTTTGATGATATATCAAACCTCATGCATCACTTATCAAGAATAACTAGAGAAAGAGAATTCGTAAAGCAAACCCTAAATAGTTATAAATTGTAATAAGGCTAATGGTGATGATTCTATTGTTACTAATTGAATTTGGGTTACTAGGAAGGAGGCAAGTTTTGCCTATGAATCATCCAAAACTAATGAAGATAACACTAAACAATAGACATTGTCATTTCTAGGTCATCTAAGATTTTTCAGTAGTGAAAATTTCCATGCACAAAATATGTCGAATGATGAATTAGATAAAAAGGTGAAGCACATATGCAATAGAAATGCCAGTGACGCTGACCAGATGCATATTTTCAATGCCACAGTGCAAAATAACATAATGGAACCAACACCTTATATTCCACTTTAGCATCATCTACAATTCATTACGTTAAGAATTCCACTGCATAGACAAAGCTTCCAAAACAACTTAATATTCAAAAGTAATAATATCCTCATTTTCTCTATGCTTAACATTGCCATATTATCTTGACGCAGAGCTGAACCTCCA